ACCTAGCCCAGCACTGATACTCATGTCCCAAAGACAGATCATGTCCTCAACATACAGTGTGTCTGGGAAGGCCTGGATATTGGGTTCAAGGTCTGCCTTGATCTTACTGGATCTTACTGGCAACATTTGGGCAGTAGTGTAGTTAGTGGGCTTTGAAACGAAATTTGAGAACAAGTGATGACCACAAGCCTTTGAAGACTAGAAAACTCAGCTGTGAGAGACAGGCAGGCAGAGAGAGAGAGAGAGAGAGAGAGAGAGAGAGAACACATGAACAAGAAAAACAGACAACTAAGTCTCAAACAAATTCCAGAATGAACGCACAGGCGAGTAAGTCTCTTGACCTATCTACCCTATATGTGTTTTCTTCCTTCACTTTGAGACTAATGAGGTAGGGCAGAGTGTTGAAGACCCTGTGACCTAGACTGTGCTAGGGATAGTCTCAGCAGGGAAACATCTCTCTGGCCCAAGTGTTATGTCTGCTGGAAACCAGCCACTTGGGCAGTCCTGGGTAGGAATCCTTCTCTGGTCCTTGGGCTCAGCTGGAACACACATAGCAACGCCCTTCCGCTAAGGTTCATCCCCAGCCCTTGGTTCTTTTGAGACAAACATTACCATGTAGGCTCAGCTGGCCCTGGTCATGTCTTCCTTTAGACTTCTTAGTGCTTGGGTGTGGTGCATGCCACCGCCTTAGGTAGAATTGTTGTACCTTATGCTTGGCTTATACTCTTCTCCATCCTTAGTGGCTTGTTGGTGTTTACTTGCCTTTTTCACATGCTGTTTTATTCTACTTAGACAACAAATTCTTTTGGGCTCTTGTACTGTTTCACAGTGGGGTCAGGAACTCCCCCTAGGCCTCTTTGTCCTTTGTGGGTTCAGTGCCCTGGCCAGCGACTATCCTACTCACGTTTTGAGCAGCAGAGCCTATTGCAGCCAGAGGAACTTGAGAGAGGTGGTGTATGTTGGGGTGCGGTGGGGTAGGGGATGAAAACAGCCACTGAACTAGAAGCAAGTCTCACTAGGTTAGTGGGGTGAGAGGCGGCAGCACTGAGTAGTTTAGTCAATGGCTGCATGATACCCTTCTGTGTGTGTCCTGAGTTTGTATCTCTTTTAAAGGAAACCTTGTTTTTCCTTGTGCCCAGGTACCAGGCAGAGGCTGATGCGCCTGTGGCCCTGGTGGTCCACATTGCCCCAGAATCTGTGCTCACCGACAACAGGTACCAGCAGTGGATGGAGAGGTACGGAGACCAGTCCAAGGCCCAGTGTGTTTGGGTGGGTGCTCCTACAGTAACTACTGCTCTGCTCGCTGCCTGCCCTCCCCTGAGCTTGCCTGAAATTCCTCTGTGATTCTTGTGAATTCTGGGAAGGTCCTGCTGGAGGGGCGTCCATGTTGAATCATTGCCACTAGATGGCGCAAAGCCCCACTCCCCACTTGCCCAGGACTCCTGGTCGCATCTCTTGCACTTTGCTTACTGAGTGCGGAGGAGAGACTGGCAAAAGGAAAGGAACAGATCCCACCAGCGTCCCACTGCACACCTGTGTTTGACTTCAGCTGCTCGGGTTTACTCTCGAGCAGGTCTATGAGGAGAAGATCCACCCTCACAGAACCCTGTGCTGGCGAGTACCAAGAGAGTATTGTAGCTTGGGTATTTGGGGCCTCCAGTGGCTCCTCAGCTGCGCTGCCTCTGCTTCACCTCCTACCCGTCCTCTCTGCCCCAGCAGTTCTGGGTCTGACTTAAGCTCTGTCTTTCATCCCTTGTGCATCTTAGTCAGAACGCAAATCGCCTTTTTTATACTCTGTACTTGATGTTTAACATCATACAAGAAGGTCTTACACTTTCTTAGTTTTCCCACCATTCTTTCCAGCACATCCCAAAGGCAGTACAAGAGGGACAAAAGCCTGGACTTTGACTCGGCAGCAGCCGGGTTATGTCTAGCTGTGCAGTGTGTTCCGGGCAAATGACATAACTCTGAACACGTCCATCCACGTTAATCTGTCCTTTTGCCATTCTTTCCCTGCAGTGGAGAGATTCCCTGCAGACACTGTAACCACGGGTCCTTCCCTGAGGCAGGGTGAGTCCCTGACAGACACTGAAATAATGGCTTTCTTCCTAGGTTCGGGCCTGACACACAGCACCTGATTCTGAATGAGAACTGCCCATCGCTTCACAACCTGCGCAGCCACAAGATCCAGACTCAGCTCAACCTCATCCACCCCGACATCTTCCCCTGTCTCACTAGCTTCTACAGTAAGGTAGCTAGTGTCCCTCATCTTTCCTGGCCGGCGGATTCCTGACCTTTGCTTTCTCACCATAAAGTGTGTTCTCATTTTTCAGGAGGAAGGCTCTGCCCTCAGCATGCCCGCAGTTCGGGGTGAATGCCTTCTCAAGTATCAGCTGCGTCCCAAGAGAGAGTGGCAGAGGTGTGTGCAATTCTAAACCTATGGAAACTCCTAGACCAGGGCTTGGGAGCGTTTTCCGAAAATGGTCAGTAGCGGTGTTCAGGAAAGCATTTCCAGCCCTGTGGTGTCAGTAGTGACCTGTGCAGCAGCCGGAAGAGCCCAGCTCAAGTCACAGATGTGTATCAGAAAAGGTCTCACTGCGTAGCCCCAGCTGGCCTGAAACTCAGAGCTCTTCTGGCATCTGCCTCCCAAGTGTTGGGATTAAAAGTGTGCGCCACTATGCGTGGCCACATTACAAAGGATTCTGTTGGTATTTCTGACAGTGATGTTTTATTCACATGGGACAGGTTTTCCTTGTATTAATGCAACAGTAAATGTCTTTGATGGGAAATGTGCTTCCAAATGGCAATATCTAAATGTGGGTCACAGTGTGTGACTTCCTTGGACACCCCATGTTCATACATTGCTGCCTGGAGGCTCCAGACAGGTGAGAAGTATTCGCTGATTGACTGCCTGCTGGCTTATCTTTCTTGTTGGGTATGAGCGTGGGGTCTTTACTATTTCCTGACCTCCCAGCACCGTTGTTAGAATAGATCGTGTTTTACGATGTCACTCTGTGCTGTGGTGGTAATCATTGCTCTGTAGTGGTGTGCCTTGGCCATGGGCATCGCTGCATACCTTCCTCAGCCCATCTGCCAGTTAAAATGTCATTTCAAGGTCCCAGCTCCACTGAGTCCATCTGGAAAGGTTGACATAGGACTGCTTTTAAGCTTTGGGGTGCTTTCCTACTCAGCTAGCCAGAGAACCAGTCCTTTCAGAATTAAACTGAGTGGAGGAGGCCAGCAATACCAGCATTCCCTGGGGCTTGCTGAGCATGTAGGCTCTCTGGCTCCACCCCAGAGCTAATGTCAGTTTGAGTTCTGCAGACCACCAGGATCCCAGTTATTAGCTGTATGCAAACTTACTTTAGTTTGAGAGGTACTTACTGGAAACCTTCTCAGCTAGGGCCCCGTGGTACTCCTAGGGGACACTGGCTCATATGTGGAGACATGTGATTATCACAGCCTTGGGTAGCAGACGTGGTGCTGAAGGGAGCAACTGCACTATCAAGAGAGATCCATCTTGCCTGAGCACCAGGAAGACTTGATTGTCAGGCCCGAGGCTGGAGAGCTTGCAGAGAACTAGGCTGCTCAGGGTTCATTCACCTTCTTTAGTTGAGGAAGGTTCTGCAGACTAGAACCACCTGGGTCCTTTTCTATAGGAGAGCTCTGTTCCTGAACTGGTTACTTTTCTGTTGCTATGAGAAAACACCATCCCAAAATTACCTTATGAGAAAGTGTTTATTTTGATTGACGATTCCAGAGTTCATCATGGTAGGGAGGCATGGCAGGCAGAAGTGGAAAGCATGGCGTGGCAGGTACTAAGCGATCCAGACCTCAGCCACAAACACAAAGCAAAGAAAGTGAACTGGAAGAGGAGCAAAGCTCTAAACACCCTGAAGTTTGCCCCCTCCTTCAGGAAGGCTTGTCAGTAACCCATAATTCCTCATTACCTCCCCAAACAGAATCACACACGTGGGACTGAGGGTGAGGGTGGTGCTAGACCATCAGAGTACACACGGGTTTATTCTGAACATTGAAATCAGCATCGGCCGAGAGGCTGTGCAGACCCTTTGGGTTACCCAGGTTATTTTCCTCTGCAGGGATACCACCCTCAACTGCAATACTGATGAGTTCATAGCTGAGGCCTTGGAGCTCCCCAATTTCCAGGAGAGTGTGCAGGACTACAGGAAGAGTGTGCCAGAAAGCCCAGCCCCAGCAGGTGAGCCAAAGCCCCGGGAGCCTCTCTGCTAAGCATTTCCTGTCTGCAGCCCTGCCATCTTGAGCAGGGTGTGGGGCAAATTACAACCTGACTATTTAACTCAAGACTTCTCTGTGTTAGAACCGAGGACTGAGGGATATTGTCACCTGTGTCACAGGAGCTCGTCACCAGAGCCCCTACCCCAGTAAACTCTGTTTAGTGTGACAGTGTGGGTGATCTTGAGGGTCCACCTGTAGGAAATTGGTTTGTGGAAGCCCTGTGAGACCATGGAGATCTTCCCTTGCCACGGTTGCCTTTGATCTACTCCTGTTAGCCAAGAAGGGCCATGGAATATGTTTGCCACCTAACCAGTGTTACTGCTTCATTAGAAAAGGCAACTGAAGAACTTTTTGACCTCTGCACTTTGGGGGTTTTCTGAGTTTTCAATTAATGAGAAAGAGGATGCTAGAATAGAAGGGGTTAGGGTTTGCTCTAGCCAGGTGGCCTGTCCCCACCCCTGCTTTTTGAAGGTCATTGCTAGGTCAGCCACTTTTCTTCCCGTGTGTGTCTGGGAAAGAACTATTTCCTGGGAATTGCTTCATCCTTTCTGATTGAGTTGGCGCCCTGCTGTGTTAGCCCATGGCCCTCAGGTAAGGGTGCAGGCCAGCCCTGTGTTCCCACCAAGCAAATGGGAGGTACATGCACTCGGAGTGTGCAGTCTTTTTTTTTTTTTGAAAAAAAAAACCCAAATCTTTATTGTATAGAAATACATATATATATAAAAAAAATCCCCCCATAGATGCTATTCTCTCATTTCCCCATCTTCCTCTTCCACACCTCTGATATAAAGAACGTTATTACACCTTATTAGAACTTCACCCAAATGTCCAGACAATGCCCCATCTATGTATTCTTCTGTATTTGCAAGCTGCATGTTCATGTAGCCATCCACAGAGACCAGGTAGCCCTTGTACTCCATTCCCCACTTCAGTTTTACCATCACTGGCTTTCCTGTCAGCCCATTGAGAAAAGGCTTAGGATTGAGGGGCAGCTGTTCCAGTCACGAGGGGCCGGCAGCGGCGTGGTCGGCGGCTAGTGGGGTGCAGCGCTCCCTGGTGTTCGCGATGAGTGTGCAGTCTTAATGCAGGGTGGAGGCGCCATCCCCAGGAAGACGGTGTTGATTCAAAGCTAAGGAAAGTGACTGTGTTGGTTAGCAGGGTTGTTTGTTTGTGTTCTCTATTTTGTTTTCTAAAGAAAGGCCTGAGGAATTACCATCTGTCCAGATGCTCTTCTTCCTCAACAGCCTGCACGCCTCATTGAAAACGAAACACTTTTACTCATCACTGTCTGAGAAGGTGGATTGGACTAGATTGTTTGACTACCTCACGACAGAGTGCTGACTCAAGTTCCCTTGTATTTTTCACAGAGAAAAGAAGCCAGTATCCTGAAATCGTCTTCTTGGGTACAGGGTCTGCAATCCCAATGAAGATCCGAAATGTCAGCTCCACGCTCATCAACCTAAGGTACCGTGCTTGCTCCAGAAACTGCTGTCCGTCAGAGCTTGCTGCTAGACAGTCCTCGTCACTCACCAGGCTGATTGTCCTGGAGCAGAAGTATGTTATTGAGATAGGTCTTGCTGTATAGTGCTGGCTGTCCTGGCCCAGAACTCACTGTGTGGGCCTTGCTGTCCTGGACTTCTGGCAGCCTTCCTTCATCTGCTTCCATAGTGCTGGGCCTAGTATATGTACTTGCTTACTTCTGGGAAACATGGAGGCTCATCCCCTCATGACTTCACAGAAAAAGAACTTAAATCTCTTTATGCTGTCTGTGTTGCTGAAGGGTGTCCCAGTAAGCTTGCACGTTAAGCCTGCAATGGACAGGTGACTGCGGACAATGGTCAGGCACGTGCTGAGAGAGGGTGCTTCAATTGTGCAGCCTAAGCTGCAGGTCCAGGCCTTGAGCTAGTGTCTTAATTGGCACCTGTGTTTCCCCCAGCTTCTCGCTGGTGTATTTAAAAATTTTCGGGGTCTTGCACATTTGTTTATATTCAGCTCACTGTTGAGTTCTGCTAGTTTTTTTTTTTTCCTGATTGATTTCTGAGTTTGCTTAGATTCATTTATTTGTAGATATGTGTTGGAGTCACTGTGAAATGTTCATGATTGCTCTGGTCTGCAAACACGTGTGTCAGGGAAGCAAGTTGGTGAAGGACTGGAGTAGTTCTTAGAGCTCATTACTGGCGCTGGTGAAGAGCGAACAATAACCCAGTAATGCTGCGAGTGTGCGCTGTAGCGCCCAGGCGCACCCGAGGTCAAATGCTTTCAGATTAGTGGGAAGTGTAGGGAAGTGGGTTCCAGTTGCCTGGCCTCTGTTGAAGACTCCTGGTTTCTGATCCCTAAACTCTGCCTGGCGCCCTTGTTGGTGGGAACAGAGTCTGCTCTTTCCCGTGTAGGCTCCCCTGGAAGTCAGTCTTTAGAATGAAGGGTCTTCGGATGCATGCAGCCCTGCCAATGTCAGTGGCTTCCTTTAGAGAGGACAGACGCGAGAGAGTACCTCCGTGTGTCTGCCCGGGAGTAGACATTGAAGGGCCTCTGCAGTGCTGAGCTGAGGCTTGAGACCTGCCCAGCTGACAGCTGTGAGGCTCACACTAGCCACCTCCTCAGAGAAGGCTCATGATGCCCGCCCTGTCTCAAGACAGTTTGAGGACCAGGTCCACTGGGAACCGGGAGCCACCTCCCATGACATACTCTGAGAAGAATGTAGCCCACTGGGGAAGTGGAGGTGCTGTGAGGGCTGACTCCTGGGCCACACTCCGCTGTTCCCTTTTTCTGCTTTTGATACCCAGCTTTGTGGTGATGCATTCAAGACTTTGGGTTCTTTGGTTCTTTCTTCCACATAAAGAGGAGATACAGTGATCTAGATGACCTGTGCGCTTTCATTAGTTAACTTTCATATGAGTGCCACAAAGGGCACGGATGGTGGTATCTGCAGCTGCTGCCCATTCTGTCTCTGCTGCAGTGATGTCCTGGAAAATCTAGACTGAAGCCTTTCCTATTGGTGATTTTTTTCTGCAGCCCTGACAAGTCTGTGCTGCTGGACTGTGGGGAAGGCACATTCGGGCAGCTGTGCCGTCATTATGGACAGCAAATAGACAGAGTCCTGTGCAACCTCTCCGCTGTGTTTGTGTCCCACCTGCATGCGGACCACCACACGGTGAGTGTGGGGCCCCAGAGGTCAGCATGTGGGAGGCCCTGGCCCCTTTAGTCTGGGCTTGGGCTTCTTTCTCCCTGTTGCAAACTTCTGGCTTTTCTTGCTTTACACATAGCCTACCCTGCTGGACCGTCCAGATCTGGGCCTTTTAGGGCTTCCTAGGTATCAGCCCACTGGCCTCCTTCTAACATAGCTGCATTTTGCTGCCAGTAACAGTTCACCGTCACTAGTCAGCCAGTGACACCCACCTGTGATATGGGGTAGGGCTGGGCCAGTGAGATCGAAACCACTTGTGGACAGGGCCTTGAGCCCTGAGCTGTGGAGGTGATGCCAGACCTGGCTCACCACATGCACTCCCCCACCCCCACAGGGCTTGCTGAACATCCTACTGCAAAGAGAGCGCGCGATGGTAAGTGAGGTACCTGGCTGACACTGGTAATTGCCTGCTTCATCATTGGTTGTACCTACCACTCATTTCAAACCGTTCTTACTGGGAAGTCCCCTTATTGCCTCTGCACTGGGATCTTTTTCCAGGTGTCTCTGGGGAAAGCTTTCCAGCCTTTGCTTGTGGTAGCCCCTACCCAGCTCAGGGCCTGGCTGCAGCAGTATCACAACCAGTGCCAGGAGATTCTGCACCACATCAGGTGAGCACCATGTGCGCTAGGCCCCAGGCTATTACCTTCCCCTGCTGCCTCCTTCCAGAGCCCCAGCTGACTGGGTGGCAGATGAAGTCCTGGAAGCTGTGCCCTTTGAGCAGACTCTCCAAGTATCCCAGGTCTCACTGCAGCTCTGGGCCACCATGACTGTGGCCACTGTCCCCGCAGCTGACAGTTCCAAGGTCAATATCCAAACAGCTGCTAACTCAGAAACATCCAAGCCAGGGATGCAGGGAGGGCCTAGCCTCACGTCCAGGGAGGGATGAGGAGATGGTGCCCACAACCTGCACTGTTAAGCTTCCTGCAGTGAACTGGTAAGGCTAGACGTATGGCATAGCTCTTTTCACTTGACCAGTTTTCCTGTGTCCATTACTGTGACAAAGTCATGATTCTCAGAACACTGAAGGTTCTTCATCCAAAGAACAGAAGTGTTGATTGTAAGTGTTAAATAACTTTTTAGAAAACATGTTCATCATCAGTTTTCAAATGCTTTGTCTTCTCATAGTATGATTCCTGCCAAATGCCTTCAGAAAGGGGCAGAGGTCTCCAGTCCCCCAATTGAAAGGCTGATCAGCTTGCTGCTAGATACATGTGACTTAAAAGAAGTAAGTGGCCCAGGTGCAGGCCCCACAGAGGGTGGGCAGGGTAGGAGCGGAGGCCTGAGCCCTCCACCTTTGCTCCCTTAGTTTCAGACCTGCCAGGTACGGCACTGCAAGCATGCTTTTGGCTGTGCGCTGGTACACTCATCTGGCTGGAAAGTGGTCTACTCGGGAGACACCATGCCATGTGAAGCTCTGATCCAGATGGGTAAGTGAGGGAAGAGGGCCTCACCTTGGTTCTTAGAGAGGTGCCTGGGACGAGTGCAGGGTATGTGCAGGTGGGTGTGTAGGTAATGCCAGCAGATAGCAGACTGGTTCCTGTCCAGGCTGTTCTTACCCAGACTGTTGCCCTGAGGAACAGAAAGTCACAGAACTTAGGGAGCTGAGTATTTGGGTCAGAACTCAGCTTTGTATCCCAGAGATATATGCTGCTCATCCAGACTCCTCCTTGATGCCCGTCTTTCCATCCAGGGAAAGATGCCAACCTCCTGATACACGAAGCCACCCTAGAGGATGGCTTAGAAGAGGAAGCGGTGGAAAAAACACACAGGTAGCAATGCTTCTTAGTCCTCTTCATGGTCTCTTTTGTCAAGTAAAAGCTAAGCAGCCTTCCACCCACACCCCACAGAGAGGTGATGCCCACAGCCACATAGGACTGGCTGACTTCCAGGCTTGTGGAATTTCCTGAATGCATGTTAGGTTCCCTGGCACTCTGCCTCTGTTCTTGTGTATACCCCAGGCAGTGTTCTATGGTGAGGTGTGGGATTTTAAAAGAACAAACTAGCTGGAATAAACTAACTTCAGGGGAGAGTGGGGTCATGGCTGAATACAGGGTGTTTTAGGAAGACAGACCTTCCTAGATTCCCTGGGGCTTTTCTCATGTGTTCATTCTAACAAGCTGACAGCCAGCAGCCGCTGGTCTGTGTTCTCAGGAAGGGAAGTGTGGCAGCCTCTGGCCCTCAGGAGCATCTCTGCTGGCTCAGCAGCCTTCTGAGGACTCCTACCAGCGCTCCTTGGTGCCTTCAGCATGTGGGGACAGGCTTGTGGACTGCTGCTCCAAGGCCATCCCTTGCTCTCTTTGCTACAGCACTACGTCCCAGGCTATTAATGTGGGGATGCGGATGAATGCCAACTTCATCATGCTAAACCATTTCAGTCAGCGGTATGCCAAGATTCCCCTTTTCAGCCCTGACTTCAACGAGAAAGTTGGCATCGCCTTTGACCACATGAAGGTTTGTATGTCATGTGGACCGGGAGGAATCTGAGGGGCAGGGCCAGCTAGGAAAGTCATCCTCAGTCACTACTCCTTTTGTGACATAGGACCGCCAAAGAAAGCAGCTTTTTCTATCACTAGCCAGACCGACACAGTCTGCTCCTGAAGGTTCTTCCTTCTTTCAGGGTCCCTAGAGATTGCAGAACGTCTCAGGCCTGGGCCATCCCCACTGCAGGACTGGCATGAACGCATGGAACAGGGGCTAGTCCCCCAGAGTGGCAAGCTTGGCCTGCACCTTCACCTTCCCAAATGAAGGCGCGTGGGGCTTGAGCTACCTCTGGTTGTTAGGAGCTTGACAGAAGAGTGTGGACTATTTGTTTCTTTTCCCTTCAGTCTCCGTTCCCTTACCTAAGAGTGGGGAATTGGCCCTTATTATTACTATGCTCCCTCACAAATAGCATTCTTTTAAGCCATGGTCCCTTCCTCTGAAGGTCTGCAGGCAAGGAGAGGTGGTCCAACCCCACACCCCAGTTCACATGCTCCTTTGCCCCTTTTAATGTTTCCCTGTTTTGTCTGTTCTTCCAGGTCTGCTTTGGAGACTTCCCAACAGTGCCCAAGTTGATTCCCCCACTGAAGGCCCTGTTTGCAGATGACATTGAAGAGATGGTGGAGCGTAGGGAGAAGCGGGAGCTACGGTTGGTGCGAGCAGCCCTCCTGGCCCAGCAGGCAGACAGCCCAGAGGGCAGAGAGCCCCAGGAGAAGCGGGCCCACACAGAAGAGCCACACAGCCCACAGAGCAAGAAGGTCAGAGCCCAGTAAAAGTCTAAGCCATCCTGGACTGAAAGCCGTGTCCCCTGCTGGGTGTGGAGCAGTATATCATCCTGGCATGAGCCAGCGTGCATGGTCTAGCCAGGAGGCAGCATGGAATCGGTATGCAGTCCTCTGTGGCCATGGCCAGGAGAGCACCCATCTGCCAGGGGCCTCCCATGCCTGGAGGAGAACATAGTGGCAGGACAGGAGGCCATGGAGTAGAAGACAGGAAGCCAGTCTTTAAAGGAGTCATGGAAACTGAGGTGTCTGCCCCCCACTACCACAGGGGTTCCCTCTGCATGCCAGAGTCAAGCCGTGTGACAGGTGACATGGGTGTGTATGTCCCAGACTCCAAGAAAATAGTATTTCTAGGGACTCAGACTCAATAAAGCTCAAGTTTGGAATCCTGAGTTCTTTGGCTTCATCGTGGTTCTGCTTCAGTGTGGGGTCTTGTTTGAGTTGGGGTACGCAGTGTGCCCTGCATGCTGCAGTAGCAGCAAGAATCTGTGGAGCACAATGACAAAGTCACTGTGAAAGTATGAAGAAATGTCACCTTGGGCTAGATGCCTTGCTGGATCTGAAAACAGGTTAGTGACTGGACCTTGGAAGGATGTTCAAAGCCGACTAACATATTCTCCCTACCCAGGAGGGCGCACTTTAGAAACTCGGCTGTGAGGCAGCACAGGATGTCGTAACTGCCCAGCAGCCTTTACTGAAACAAGGGCATGTGCCAAGCTCAGGGTTAATAAATCTATTTTAATAACATTACTCTTGACAACAGTTTATACATTTATGTAAAGATAACCTTCAACCCCCAGGCTCCGTTACAAATTGGGGACTGGACTGCCCTTGCCAGGAAGTAAGCAAAGCTGTAACGTCAAGTCTGCAGATCCCACTCTCGGAGAAGGGTGAGTTTACACTGCTGGGAAAAATAACTAAGCATTTAGAATTTTTCATTGTACACCTGTACATTGGTTTAGATTGAATGGCTCAAATTAAACAAATATAGATTTCATATATACAAATATATCATGTATAGGTATATCTATTTTCAAAGGATCAAACTTTAAACTTTGACTTTGCATGCATGGCCCAGATCTCTGTTTCATTCCCTTAATTCCAAAGTGTGAACAGGCTCCCTGTGCCCCTGCCCAGGGCTGGGTGGGCTATGGTGAGAAGGATGAGCAGGGTCTGCTGGTGAACAAAGCAGGCCACGCTGTGGGCTGGGCAGCTAGTCCCACTCCCTCTGCCTGCTTTGGGGAACAGAATTATTGCTAGTGAGCACTAACCTCCAGAACAGGAGTGCCAGGCCCCACATATCTACTAAGCTGGGTGCCTGAATGGGACAGTTGCTCTAAGATAGCCAATATGTTTGGGGAACATGGAGCCCTACATAGGGCCTTCTATGTTCAAACCCGAAGTTGACAAACATTAGGGCGGAGTAAAGGGAGCCTTCGTCACACAGGGGAAGTAAAGCTGTCTGAGTAGATGTGTTCGCTCTTTACTTTAGAGCTGTGATTAAGGGTAGCCTAAAAGGTCTTTCTGGTTGGCTGGGACCCTGGCAGCAGACAGAGGACAGACAGTGCCCAGGACTTCTCTTGCTCTGGTGAAAGAGTCTCCTCCTGTCCAGCTCCCCCCCCACGGCCCATCTGGTGATGCTGCGGGCCCTGATGTCCCAGTCAAGGCAGTGACTGGACCCTCCCGTGCACCCTCATCCTGCAAAGGCCATTCTGACAAGCCCTTGAGTAGAGGCGGATGCTGCTTGCCATGGAGGCCGAAGATGGATCAAAATAGGCACAAAGTCAAAAGGCAAAGGTCAAACAAAAGGCTGGAATCATCACCCGAAATGAACAAACGAAATCTGCACCACCAACACTGGCCACATGGATGGGAGAGCTCTTTTCCTCTGCCTAGCTCCACCCTGGTGTTGGACATGACAGCAAAGGGCTGATGGAAAATCCTTGGCAGGCTAGGGGGCACTGCTCCGGGTGGTGTCTGGGGGCCCACGGATGTATGTACAGGTGTCAAGGTGGGCTGCATCAAAGAGCTGTACTCTCAGACTCTTCTTCTGAGTCCCTCTTGTCAGTCACCACGTGCCGCTGTGCATGTTCCAGGGGGCTCAGGCGGAGCGTTGACCCCAGCTCTATGTGGATGGAGGGGACATCAAAGTGGACAAGATCTGCAGAGAGAGGAGGAGGTGAAGGGGGGCCAGTTGAAAGCAGTGTGGCCTGGTTATATGCTCAGACTTGCTCATTAGAAGTTGGACACTACTGGGTGTGGCTGGGTCTGGTCTAATGCCTGGGAGCCTGGCTAGGGGACAAGGCTGTTCCAGTCTTTCAGCCTCTGTATCCAAGTCCTGATAAGCAGGGTGTTCCCAGGAAGGCCTCAGTACCATCTACGAATCAGCCTACAGAGACAGTCACTGTCCTCACTCAGAAACTGCTGTGTGGTAGCAGCTCAGGGAGGCAGGACAGAATCTTCCATAGGATGCTGGATCCAACCCCACTGCCATCACCTGTTTTGACTTTCACAAGGAACACTAAAAGGTCATCCTGACAAAGGCAGGGAGGATGAATGTACCAGAGGTTACAAGGCTTAGTGTCCAGATATCTGGGAGTCAGCCAAGAGAGAACAGCTTCACAGGGCCATCAGCTGGGCACTCGGCCTCTTGGACACGCACGCTGGAAGTGAGTGGTCCTGGAGCCTCAGGAGGGTAGATCTGGAGGGCCCAGCCTGCTGAGGCCCTGGGCTGCAGGAGGTGAGTTGGGATGATGGGTTTTTGGGACCCTTCACCCCTAGTTATATCATTCCCTCTGTCCACTTCACTTAGTTCTGGACGTCTGTGAGTCGTGCAACCTGAGCTGGCAACAGCATTCTAACTGAGCACACCAACCTGGCAGGGGCTTGGCCCTAGGCCACTCAGAAGGTGAGTTGTGGTTTTGTTGGCTTTAAAAATATTAACAAAACATGTTGAGAATGAGGAGTACCATACCGAGTGTACATGCATTACACTTGGACACTGCCCTCAAAGACATCTTACAGACACACGAGCACCGGGACACCCCTACTCTACCTGTTTCAGCCTGCCCAGTGGCACAGGGGTGGGGCAGGCTGGGGCCTGACACTTGCCCGCCATACTAAGTGCTCCCCCGCAGTGTGTTGTGGGTCCCACAGGAGGCTTAAAGGCTGATTTTGTTCTGTATGTGGGAGGCAGGCTGCTGAAGGAGGGGGCGTGGGAGGGTGGATCAAGGTCTCATGGCAAGACTGCGGCTTTGGACAAGCTTAAGCAACCCTGTAGTCAAATCAGGGCAACAGGGCATTGAGGAGCATCAACTTGACAGTTCAGACGGTGCCCAGCTAGCACAGGACTGTCTCAACCCTACCTTGGGGGTTCCCTCAAAGGATCCTGAGCAAAAAGGGTCACTCAGCAAGAGGGCAGGGCTTAGGGGAGAAGCCTCATGCTCCCCTCAGGAGAATTGTGAGTACCAGATGCCTAGCAGCTAGTCAGTAGGATGAAATCCTTTCATTGGTCTCTAGGCTTCATTCATGCTCTTGCCTGATTTTTAGGTTTTAATATCTATTCTTGATGAGAGGAAACCCAAGTAGATAAAAATTATGGAAATGCCCCCAAACATTCCAGGGTCGGATAGAGGACTGGCGGTAGCTGTCATTACAGAACTCGTGTTCTAAAACACTGAGTTTGAGAACCTTAGGTGCTGCCCTCTGGACTGCCAGCCTTTGCCTTAGTGCTGCCAGCGGCACATGAATGAGCTGGTGCATGCCCAAGGCCACTGACCAAAGTAGTGGCCCTGTGCCAGACAGCACCTGGTGAGTGTTCTTGGGGACACGTTCCTCAGCAAAGGGGTGCTTCCAGCAGGTAGCCCCATAAGAGCAGGTCTGTTATCAGGGTAAACTGTTAACTGGAGGAAAGGGGATCTGCCGCTAAGATGGTGACAAGCAGAAAAAGACGGGCTGGGGCCCCTATGCTGGGTGTGTCTTTTCCTAATGAGAGGAAAGGGAAAACAGGCCAGTAGCCTCGGAGAGCCACAGGCTCCTAAGCCAGCAGGCCCTCCTTGAGGCTGGGAAAGCCAGTAAGTGAAGAAGGCATGCTGTTGGTGGGTCTGAGCCACATGCAGTGAGAGGATGGGCTGCTGGGATGGGTGGGGGCCAGGCAGCTGGCTGGGCTGGCTAGAGGGAGTAAAGCGAGGTGAGCTGGGGCCAGCTTACCCTGAAAATCCCCCTCACACGTATCCAACACTGCGTCACTCATGTCACACAGCTGCAAGAACATAATGATAGGATTCGGAGAGAGGAACAAACAGGATGAAACACACGTAACAAAAAAACACTGTCCATGTCACAGTCCCAGAGATGCCACACCGACTACAGATTCTACACTGTCAGAGACCTCTACATACAGGACACATGATGGTCTGCTGCCCAAAGAACATTGATACAGTGGGGACTCTGGGCAGGATGTCACTTGAGTCTAACGGTCACTGAGTCACAGACTTTAGCCTAGGCTGTGGAAAGTGACCTATGCCTCAAGCTGCAGGCCCTGTCCCTCCTTGCCTACCACTTCTCTCATTCTGCTCCTTTCTGCTTCCTTCAGTGGCATTGCTCGTCCTGTGCCCTGTTCACAGGGATACCTTGACTCCCAGCTTTGGAGTGGCTGGGAAAGTTGGCAGAGCTGGAGTGATGAGGGCACAGCCCCTACAGGCTGCCCCTGGCCACCACCCGCTCAAGCAGGTGCTGCCTCCCCACAAGGGTTCCTCTAGGCAATGTACCACTGCCTTTTCCAGGAAAGTTCCCTAGGGTTTGACTATGCTACAGAAGGGGTGAATAATATAGTCAACATTTATCACTTCCAAAAATACAGAAGCCGGCTGGCCAGATGGCTCTTCCCCATGATGCTGCAAGTCCTGACCTGTGACAAGCACTTGCTATTTGACTAGCATTTTCACTGGCAGCCGAGAGCTGGACCCCATCTGTGGCTGCCATCTCATCCAGGGAAGAACATGACAAGTTCTATGACGATGCGGTGGGAGCAGAGTCCCACTGTACCCAAGGAGCCTACTGGTCTTGGCATGTACATGGCACAGAGTGCATGTGAGTATGTGGGTTTCTTATCGTATGTGCTGGGGATAAGCTCGGGTAGAGCAAACAGTCCACCTGCCCCAGCTTAATTCTTAGGTGGGTATGCGGCTTCCACGTGTGGGTGTGCTCGCCATCTGTACACGTGTGGAGCTTTGGCGTATGGGTGAGCAGGGTGTGTACATGTGACCCAAGAGTGGAATATGTGTGTGCTGCACGTACACGCAGTCCCTATGTGGTGTATGTCTGTGTATGCTAAGTCAGCATGACGGTACGCTGCACCTGTGTGTACGTGCACAAATGCACGTGCGCATCGATGTAGAGTGTGTGGTGTGGTGCACGGTCTAGTTCTGGGTCGGCCTGACACGGGCTGGAGTCACCTGGGAAGAAGGAACCCCCACTGAGACAATGCCTCCACAGGGCGGGCCTCCGGTGCCTGTGGCGCATTCTCCTCACTGATGACGGCTGGGCGGTGCCACGGCTTCAACAGAGCAGGCTCAACAAGCCACGGGGAGCGAGCCAGTAAGCAGCACTCCTCCATGGCCTGTGCATCAGCCCCTGCCTCGAGTTCCTTTCCTGACCTCGCTGGATGACGAAATGTAAGCTGTGAGGTGAAATAAATCCTTTCCTCCCAAAGTTACTGTAGTCCTGGTGTTTGAGTACAGCAATAGAAACCCTAAGACACAGTATGTGTAGTGTGTGTGTGCCGTTGCACATTTGAGTATGTGGTTTCCATGCATGGTATATGTATATTATGCATACAGATGTATAGTATGCTGTGTGTACAGGTGTATATGCACGTAGTTGGGTATGTGTGTGGTAAGTGTTCAGAGCACATGTGCTTCCTCTGTGCGTGTTTGTTGGTGCACGGTGGGAGGGTGTTTGTGGGTATGCAGTGTTGTCAAGCTGCCTCACCTGCTCTCTGGGACCATGCTCCATGTGGTAAGGCTGTCTGCCCTATAAAATGACTCAGCTCTGCTTGAGGACTCAGCCCAGCACTTTGCTATCTCCCTAAATGAGGAAAAGGCTCACATGACATTAGCAGACACCAGAGCTCTGCCGCTGGCTTTGTAATTGTATAAAGCAAGTGTCTGGGAGACATTTTTAAACACCCATTTCTTCCATAGTGAACTGGGTTCACTAGCTGTAATTTCATATACTTAAACATTTTCCTTGGAAGGACAACCCAGCCTTTGTTTTGATTTAGAGTAAACTTAGTCAAGCAGTTGTGGATTTGACTAATTTACAGCTGTAGGAAGTCTGCTGAGAGAAGGGGAGACCTGTTTGCCTAAAGATGACCCATCTGTAAGAAGCATCTGCAAATACATTTTTCTAGCAAGGCTGATTTTCTCCTCAGGAAAACCCTCTGGTTCTTAGCCTCCCTCCTCCATTAAGTATCTGTATTGCTCAGTTGCTGGCCTGTGTCTGGAGGAGGATGACACTGCCTCTCTGGAGGTCTCACTCCAAAGGATACAATCCCAACTCCAGGGACGCAGATCCCTAAGCTGCTGGACAAGTCTCTCGGACTCCCCTGCATGCCGGCTGCTCTCCAAGACTGCTTTCCCCAGGGGCTTTGGGAGAGAGGGCCAGGGGCTAGCTGTGGCCAGAGGGGATGCTGGTCCTGCTCCTGGCACACTCGGCTAAGCTTCACAGGAGGCCTGCAGACAGCCACTGGCCTACTTACCTGTAGACATGCTTTCTCCCGGCGACATGCCATCTAGCATGGGATGCTCTGTGGACTGTGGACTCGAGGCTGACAGGCTGACACTGGGAGGCTGAGGTGGTGGCAGGGTGGGCCTCTGTCGGGGCTTAGGGGTGGGCCGAGATTTGGCTAAAGTGCTTGTGAAGACAGAGGGAGAGGCCAGGGGAGGAGCAGAGGCAGGAGAGAGCTGGCCAGAGGCCAAGGAGTACCCCGGAGGGTAGCTCAGTCCATAGGGTGATGGTGTGCTCGGTGGAGTTGGAGACAGGCTGACTGGGGATGGCTGGCCAGTGGGCTGGTCAGAAACAGTCCCTGGCTGCACGAAGGGGACCTTGGGAGGAATTGGTGCCAACTTCTTTGAAACTGTAAGAGAAAGCAACATAAGTTATATGGCTATTAGGGAAGTCCACTGGTATACCCGTTAGTGTGTATCATCATGGTTCCAACTGGCCGCTGCTTCCTCCTGCCATGCCAGGAGCAGCCAAGAAGCTTTAAAAATGAACAGAGAACTCTTGAGTTTCCTTAACTTGCCATCTGCTGCTAACCCATTTTTTTTTTCCTCTCCTCACCGAATTTAAAGAGTGAGTCAGTAAGGGTGGCTCTGCTGGGAAGATAGTAGTTCAAGGTATCACCACAGAGCACTGAGTAGGGGTGCTTCCCAGGTCTTTGTCTGAGGCTGTGCGGTGACCTTTGTCTCCCACAGTGATAAATCCTCTAGCTAGACAGTGCCAGTCTCCACCGCCTCAGATCCCCACCTCAGCCTCGTACAGTGGCCGCCCAGGCTTTGGCTTTTAATCTTTACGTGAACAGATATAACAGCTTTTGTATACTGACAGAACGCAATGCATAATGACCAAATTACAGTCCTTAGCATTTCCATGTCCCCAAGTGGGATCACTTCTGTGTGCTGGGAACTTGGCAAGACTTCCCTAGCTCCTTGTAAATGTCTAATTAGTTACTGTATGTGGCCTATAGTTACACAACTGTGGAAAACATTAGAATTCTACCCTTCACAATTGTGACTTAGTAAATGCACCCTCCGCTTCCCTAGCCTGTGGCCATGGGTTGCTTTCTTTTACCCATTCTCTATCAAGCATGGATGAACCAACTGTACTTTTCTCTCTTGCAGTGCAGGGGAGTAGCAAAGTAGTCAAGCACTGAGCTACACCCAATTTTGAAAGCACACCTTTGGCCCAGCCTTTCTGAAGTGCCTTCATTTCCTCAGCTCTTGAGGATGCCTCCTACCTTGAATTGAAAAAGTGAGTGGAATCTACAATGGAGTCAAACACCCCCAAGATGCCACTGATAGGTGAACATCCTGAGAACATGAACACGCTCAGAACTGGGGGTGGCTGCCAGTCTATGAGCAATGCTAGAAGGAACTCACTTAAGTCCCCAGAGAGGCCCAATGGCTTCTTCCCCATCCTTGCCCCTCTCCATACACATCCCCTCCACAAAATGAAAAGCAGGTCTGCGGATATCTTATTTCCCAGGCTTGTCTCCCCTGCAGTGTGGATGAGAGAAAGACAGGCTCTGCCAACTTGGGTCAGGTTTCTATCTTCTACTTGCTACCACATGCCTTGGGGTTAATTATTTTATCCTTTTCTAAAAACTAAATAGGCCTCTTTTGTATAATGTGAAGAACAATGATTTCTCCATAGTAGTGTGGTAATTCAGTCGGATCATGTGGTCGAACACCATACCTTCATCATATATTACGAAAGTTTGGCTCCCTGATCCATCTTCTACTGACCTGCTGCATATTTAGTATGTTCCCTGGTAGAACATACTCAAACATTTCTCAAAGCTCTAGTGGCAAGATGAGGAATGATTCACTAAGCAAGGGTTTCCAGGGGCCCTTGCTAATGGGAAGAGCATCCAACTCTGGCTTAAGAATGGTCAGAAGGAGGGGACGTACCTTTCCGGAGTGTATGAGGACTCTGGTCTGCAGAAAGCTGGCTGGGGCTGGCAGCCGGCTGTGGCCCCAGTTGCGTCCCTGGACTGGCTGTCCCCTGGATGGACCCAGGACTTCCTTTCTGCCCAGCCCCTGGCGACAGTTCCTTGCTTTTAGACACACTGAAACACAAGCACACAGGGCAAGGTGACTCCTGAGCACAGTCAGCTTCAGTCCCCATCTTGCTCACTGTAGTGCTGAGCAGCTGAGCCCTGCTTAACTATCACAGCGCTTGCCTCAGTCCCTTCTCAAAGCCTTTGATGATCCCAAATAGGTGAGGTTGACTGACCCTTCCCAGAGTGCTGATCCCGGGTTCCACTCTCAGCTTGGTATTCACAACCAGCACCCTCTGCCCTCAAGCAAGCAGTGAGCAATGGGGCATATAGGTGGCACCCGTCTTTGCTGTCCTCAACCAGGGAATTCTAAGGCATTCTGAAACCAAACACTCAGAATCTTCATGCTCCTTCCATCACTATGGCATACCAGAGCCAAGAGATTTTCCTAGGGTCAGTGTCCCCAGGAAGGGATGATGATGAAACCTCTGCCGCCAGGCTTCTGGCTGTGGCTCTCCAGGTAAAGGGGAGCTCTTCAGTATGTTTGACTTCTGCAGTCGTCTGCACCAGTGAGTGATGTCCTCCACAGAAGTGGGGCACCAACACGTAATAGCCCTGGAATGCCTGAAGAGCCCAGGGGAGCCGTCCTCACGGAGTGTGTGTATGACACAGATACAACACACAGCATCTTTGTAAGACGGGAAATCTAATTGATGCAGACGAATACTGCAGAGGGGACCACCTCAGTCATATGTCTCTCCTCTCTTGCTCAGCTTATCTGGCCCACGGTTGCCAGTCTGTCCATCGCCAAGCTCCCACTGCCCTGTCTGCAGCTCCTACGGACCCAGAGTCCTGCAGGGGCACAGCCAGCCTCAGGCTTTCTGTGGGCCACAGTCGTCAGCAACCTCCTTAGCATACCCAGTGTCAGGTGCCCCTCTCTTTTCCTTTGTCATTTTTATACTTTGAAATGCAATTCCGTTCTACTCATTAAAGGAAGCAAGTGCTAAAAAGATATATGCAACCTCACCTATGAACCATCCAAAAGTTAAAGGCCGGGCTAACTCAGCAGGCCCTCCACCCAGTGCCCATAGTGACAGCTGCCCAAGCAGTCTCTCTACTTCTCTGGTTGCTGCATGAGAAGAGAAACAAACCACCTCCCTGATGCTGCTCCCACTTCAAACTCCTGTCCTCTGGCTGGGCCATGGCGTCCCTTCCTTATACCCTGGGCCCTGGTGAGCTCAATATTGTTGTCTCTTGTCAGTGGGGCATGGCGTGACTTATGGCAGAAATCACATATTACTACATTCGTCAGAAAGAGTTCTGGTAATGTTCAGTGACCTGGTGATGGAATGAAATGGATGTTCTCTTCTCTGAACTGCAACTCCACCACACAACAGGCTTAAAGGTCACCATACCCTGAGTGACTGCCACTTTACACCCCTGGTCTGCACTAATTTTAGTAGTAAAACTGGCCCCTACAAACTTAAAGGCACAAGGGAGAAACGCTGACTTCCTAAAGTCTGAACCAGGGATGCGTGTGGGCACAGAAGAGGGTATGTGGATGGTGGGAAGTCCCCGGCAGGGTCTGGAGAAAGGCACCTTCTACGTCTGCTTCGGTTTGCTTTTCTTAGAAAGCCTGCGCTTCACATAGCAACCCAGGGCAGGCCATGCAGGTGAGGTGCCTGGGTGCTGGCAGAATGCAGAAAGCCAAACACAAATGCTCAGATGTGGGGGCGGTGATGAGCGGATCCAGGAGGCCTGGAGTGGGAGCCAAAGCCCAGGCACCCCAGCATACATGCCAGCCTTCCATGATGGGGCTGGGCTTACCTGGGGCGCTCGGGGGTGGGCTGCAGGCTGGCACCTGATGGAGAGAGCGCAGGAGCTGGAGTGGCAGGGCTGTCTGGGCCCTGCTCCGGCAGGGGTGATGGCAGGGGTGCAGCCAGCTCGGAGGGTGGGGCGGGAGGCTGCATGGAAGGCGGGGCGCAGGATGCTTTCCGACCAGCAGAGGAGCCTCTTCGAGCCACCCAAGATGTGTCCATGACCCTCACACCCATGCTGGCGAGGGACACAAAGACATCTGCTTACCCACATGTGACAGATGACACATTCCCTCCCCCATGAAGCGGAGACATTCAAGCAATCTGTTAGGAGAGAGCAGCAGGCTTAGCATCCTCCTCGGCCCTTGGAAGCAATGCCCGCAGTAGAGAGGTATGGCTAGCACCGCTCCAGTGCCTGGGCTGCTGGGGACCTGCTGACATGCAGACCCGCAGTCCAGGCCTGGCACGAGCTGCCCTCCCTCAGTGGAAAAGCACAACAGGGCACAGCCAACAGCTTGGGAGTCCACAAGCTGTGCTTTTACCCTCTGCCAAAGCCAGCAGGCCCTGGGATAATGGCCCCCAAAGCATCCTGGGTGTGGAACTCAAGCTGTCCTCAGAGCAGAATGTGGCCTACCTGGGGGGCAAGGGAAACGTCCTTCCCATGTAAGAAGATGGTGGATGGGGCAGGGATAGACAGCACCAGTCCAGCACATGAACCACCCAGCAGGAGACTTCTAATTGCATCCTTTTTGCAACGTGGGGCTTAGCCCCAGCTTTGACACTGCTGGGGACCCTGTCAAGGCATGACCTCTGTAGACCACAGCTGCTTATCTACATAGCATGGAAGGGGCTGCTCATGCCTATGGTCCCTCCAGGTTTAGAGTCTACTTTGATGATGGACACACAGCTCCAAGTAAGTCGGCCAAGCAACCAAACACGGCACATTCACCCTCTTGCGGAGCTCACTACCACACAGCTTGCTTGCTTTAAGAGACTGGAAGTGACCTCATAGCTACCAGAGGATACTGTACCTTTGGATTTTCCTAAGGCTGCAGGGACAGAAACATACAGATATTAGTGTCAACAAATCTACACCTTCCTTTGGACACAGAGGTGGTGTGTCTGCAAAGGGTTTCCTGTCAAGAGTCCTGATGTAAGGCTTGTGTTGTGGGAAGATGACTAGTGTGTAGTCTCCAAGCCTCTCCTGTGTTTACACAAGCCAAAACCATGTAGGTAAATAGAGAATAGCTGACAGGACTATGGGGTGGTGGACTCATCAGAGAGCCCATCTGCCCGTTTCCAAGTTGCACAGACACAGAAGCCAGATAGTGGCCGTCATCTAGTCCAGCGGACCTGGTCCTGTGTCCTCCTTAGGCAACAGCTTCATTGACGAGGACTTTAGTATGGAGGGAGACATGAAACTTTGTAGAAGGACAAGGCACACTCTATGACATTCCGGTCTCTAGTGCTTACGGTGGGCGTAAGAGAGCACCCATGTGTTCATTCTCTGTCTTCTCACTCACAGTCGGGAGCACTGAGCTATCGCACCATGGAGTCCTGTCTATCTAGAATGGTCACATTTACCTTATAGAGGCACAACAAGATGAAAGACCGATTGAAATACAGAGGTGAAGTGTAGCAGGTGGAATGGCTCCTTTAAGGAAACATGCCTCAGCACGGACCTGTGGTGAGGGGAACAGTGAAGGTGCTATCAAGCAATCCTAGGCTTCTGTCAGCTTCCTGAACCTTTCACACCTAGTGCCAGGGCTGACATTCCTCCTCAGGTCCCCTGATGGCTTCAAGGAGGCATCTCTGAATGGATGGGGAGGAGGGGGAGGTAATCTCTTTCCAGGATTCACTGCGCTGGCTTTCAAGTCATCTTGAACATCTTCATAGGGTGTCCAGAAAACCTCAGGAAGATCACTAGACTCTGGGGCGAGGGTCAGTGTGTGTCCCTGGTATTCACAGCAGGCCAAATAGGGTCAGCAAATGATGCTTTCTGGGTTTCAGAATGTATCAGAAAAAAAGGGGAGTGACACTTCACAGCAGGCGGTCAGCCACAAGAGTCCTGAAGTCCTACCCGCCACTCTTCCTCACCATATTCTCTTCTGCTTAGAGGACCCTTCCCTCACCAGGGAGGGGAAGCTGGGTCCTTAGAAGCAGGACTGAGAGGCCTGCTTCTCCTTTCCAAGGGCAGCTTCCAACACTTGGAACCTCAGACTCCAGACTACCTGCTGATCTGCTTCACCATGGAAAGAAGCATACTTGGCCACCAGCTAGGTACTGAGCAAGCCCTGCTAATTATGACTGACAAATGGCCGCAACTGAGAACTCCAAGCGGAGTGCACACTGCCACCTTCACTGGAAGCTGCTGGGCCGTGCCAGTCACCCCTCTGCCTATCTTGGGTTCTGTGATCACACATACCATGTCCACTGACATTTTCAAGTAGTTATTTAAATCTTAAAGTGACTCAATAGCAAAGGTGGCAGCTACACTCATGGGTACCGAAACATTCGTTTACAAAGGAGCAAGCTGCTGACCGTGTATGTCTGAACATCCAGATAAACTCAGTCCAAAGGCCTCAGTGACAAAGCTGCTTAGCACCCCACCCAAAGGAGGCTGCACATAGACAATGGGGATCCAACTGGATGTCTGTATCAACAGTTCACAAATCTCTGTTCACTCACTGCTGTCTCAAAAGGGAGATCAGAACAGACTCAGGGCTGGGTGTCTTTAAGGATGAAAAAATGGAAGTGGGCATGCTAGCAAGCTGACTCCAGCGGGTGCTGCTGATGGAAATTCAAAGCCAGAATGGAGGCTCTGGCACCCCAAGACTCACTCTTGTGAAGACTCAGTCTTAGAAAAGGAGGCAAGTATTGGTTAAGAGGAGACCCCGAGAAGCTATGGTTGGGGAATCTGTGAACAGGAAGCACAGAGTCAACCCCAGAGCACTGTGCTCCTGCTCCTCAGAGCCTTTCCTGGGGAAGCAGGAAGGGATTGCGTGGAGCCTGCCGAATATGGGGGCCACGGGTGTGATGCTGTGAGGAAAAGGAAACAGCAGTCAGGCGACTGGGAGTTGACACCATGGCTCACTGGCACTCATGTGGCAGTCGCCATTCCTCTCTGCCTACCGGAACCTTCCACGGATTTCTTTGTCACAGGCCTTTTGTTTTCTGACAGAAAGACTCATGGAGCACAAGTTGGCTTCCACCTCCCCAGTGCAAGCATGACAGGTGTGTGGCACCACGCGCAGCCAAGCACCACTTGCATGACTTTCTGTAAATCACACTTTAGATTTTTAAATGAGGCTAACAACAACAAAGTTCTGAGATGACCCATGCCTCTAGTTCCAGGTAGACCAATTGCTCGTTCTAACTCTTTCCTCAGAGACAGACTGGGGCAAATAGCCCCCTCCTGTGTCCAGCACCCCTGAAGGTAACAACTTCGCAACTTAACAACTGACTGCGCAGTGACAGGATGGGTTGTGCGCGTGTGGGAGATGGTGCTGCGGTTTGGGGAGGTCTATGGCGTGTCCTTTGAGAATGTGATGACCTTTAAGACATAGCACGAGGTGATGGCGTCACAGCTGACACTATCCTCAGAAGGAACTGAGGAAGTCCTGATGGGACCCTGCCCCTCGCAGGAGAGCTGTCAGAAAAGGGCAGGCGTGATCCCTGAGCCCCTCTCCGGCTTCCTGTCCTGCCATGCTATCTCTCGCCTTCACATGTACTCCTACTGCCCTCTGCCATGGGATGCAGCCAAGGGACCTTCAACTACTGCCAAGATGAGGCTGGCACCATGTCTCGGTAGCCCCAGAATGATGGGTTACGTAAACCTCTTTTCTTTAATACATTGCCCAGCCCCCAGAATTTGGTTATAGCAACAAAAACGTGAACTAATGTAAACACCAAGTATGTCTAAGACAGGGTGTGCCGAGCCACAAAAATGGCATCTGATCAGGTGATACAGTGGAGATTCGTGGTGTCTACGTATCCTGTTAGGGAAGCAGAGTGGGATTTGGGGAAAGTAAATCTTAGTATGAATCCCAGACTTGCCATTTTATTAGCTATGTGATACAGATACAAACGAGTGACCTTTGAGTAACCTTTTGTAAAGTAGGAACAACACTCTGTCTTCCCCTGGGGAGGGGTGGTGTTTGTAGAATAATGAACATAAACATAAGACCTTCGGCCCTGGGAGACCAGGCACAGGCTCAGCTCACTTTGTCTGAAAATCTGTCATGTAGAATGCTTCAAATTCAAAGCTTTGTGAGCTGCTGAGAATGTCTGGGATCTTACCCTTGACCCCAAAGTGCTGACTTGCAGGAAAAATGCTGTGTAAAATGACCTTCAGGATACAGATGTGAAACATATTTTGTTTTTCTTCTTGGGCTGCATGCCCACGGCATTTCACATGCTTAAGCATATACTCCAAAATGTGAGGTATGGTTATTCTGATAAGGGACATACAACCCTGAGGAAGAATCAACAGTGCTAATGTCCTGTTACTATAGATGCCAAGCATGTATGACTTTAAGTACGTGTAAGTGGGTATGGTGGCACATACCTTTAATGCTAGCACTCGGGAGGCAGAGGCAGGCAGATCTCTGAGCTCAAGTCTAGTCTATACAGGTCATCTAAAGACAGATGATGAGACTGTCTAAAATAAACTGTCTGCTTGAGGAAGAATGGGTAGACAGTGCTTACTAAAGGCAGAAGGATATTGTTTTGCTGAATTGGGGATGGCGTGAGATGGAGACACTGAGAAGACACCAGCTGGGTTTAATGTCTGATGTCAGTTCTTCCTTTTAGCAGTGAAGCATGGGAGAAGGGTAGCCCAGAGCCCTCTTTATTGTGTTGCTTGTCCTATAGGACAAGTTTGTTAGACCAGTCAAGATAGGTTTCTGAGGAAAGGGTGCTGGCAGCCTAATAGAAGAGACTGAAAATGAGGCAGAGGTCTACACAACCCTGCCTGGCATGGCTGGGATGTGTTTTCCAAGGGTCTCTGCTAAAATCCTCATCTCTGGTCTGTAGCCCTCTGGGGAGATGATGGCACCATTAGGAGCTGGTTCTTTCTAGGACAAGCTGGGATGCTAGGTTACCAGTGGCATGCCTTAGAAGAAGCTTTTGGGACCCCTCCTCTTCCCTTCTCTGGGCTTCCTCTGCTGTGAACTTTTAATGTACTGACATCCAAGGGCAACGGGGCCAAGCAACAGTTTATTATCCACAATAATCCCCCCTCCACCTCAGTTAACTGTCTCTGGCATTCAGTTACACTAGCAGAGATCTGACTACCACAGCTGTGCCTTTCAGTGCTCAGCTCTGGACCGCAGGTGGGCAGAGGAGGCGGGGATAAGGACTGTCATCTTGGCTGAAAGGTTCACTGGAGAACAAACTGACAGAGGACAGGGGGCTTCGCTATGAAGGGATACAACCTTGCTGCCTACAAAACGGTTCATAAGTTACGGAGAACCCTTAATGAGCTTCAGGCATCTGGCCAGTTCTGCTTTAGAATATTTTGCACTTGCAGAGTTAGCTCAAACACTCTGGCATAGTGTAGATAAAGAGGCAAGGAAAAGGCTTAGTCAGGATTCCTCTGTGGCAGAAAAGTGGATCCAGGCATGCCACTACTCTAAAGATTTATTTTTCATATGTATGTGCTTCTGTCTGTGTGTAGCACTTAAGGGAGCCTATGGAGGCCGGAAGAGGGCACTGAATCCTGTGGAACAGGAGTTAAGGGTGGTTGTGAGCCAGCCAACCACGCTGAGAATTGAACTCACGACTTTTGGAAATGCAGTAAGTGCTCTTAACTGTCATTATCCCTCTAGCCCCAGTGTACTGCTCTGCTATCTTACAAATGTGTGTGTGTGTGTGTGTGTGTGTGTGTGTGTGTGTGTGTGTCTATTACTCAAAAGCATGGTTGATCTTGAGACTCCCTGGTGACAGAGCTGGTAGACTGAGCTGGCTGCCAGCTGTATGTTCCCCTGGGACAGATCCCATTGGGACCTCAGTTTCTCTCCAGGGGATGATTGGACTCTGCACCAGCTACATTCCAAGACTGAGTGTTCCCAGAGACACAAGGGGAACCAACAGGGCTAGTCTCAGAAGTTCCAGAACATGCCTTTTGCCTCTCAGCCAAGAACACCACTATGGCCAGCTCAGATGCCACTGAAGGCCACTAATGCACCAGCACTAGCAAAAACAACTCAAGCGTCTGCTGCCATCTTTCCCACAATGCTATTCACTGGCAGCTTGCAGTATACTGGTTGTTTTAGGCTCCTGCAGCTACTATACAGACACTACAAAATTGGCACGTGCCAGACAAACACACACAATTCTGGAAACAGATTCTAGATTCTCTATCACTATTTTCCATTCCTCAGCAGCAGGGCTGTGGTCCCTTCAGGGGCTCTAGGAGACATGTATTCTATTTCTGTGTCAGCTAACCTTCAAATCTCAGCTCCACCTTCACAGCTCTAGTGAAATGAAGTTCCCTGTCTTCCTTCCATTAGGGACCACTGAGAAGCCAGCTCAACTTCCTACTCCAAAATCCTTACTCTAATCACTGCTGCAAAGACTGCCCCTCCCCCGAATAAAGTACTATATACAGGATGCAGAGTTGGACCCAATGTCTATGGGTGGCCATCATGATGAAAACCACAGCTCTGAACTCTTGACTCTGACCGGTGACTCACTGAAGGCATTCTGTTTACAGCATTATGAATCAGAAAGGCTTCATGACCAGACCTGTGAAAAACAGTCGGCCTTTAGAAGCCACTGGCCCAAAGGATGCTCTTGACACTGATGGGAGACTTCCTACTTCTGCCCAATTTTATCCAGCTTATCTAACCCAGTTTTTCTTTCTGATGTTTTAGGAAAATGTTTACATTTTCTTTTTATCTTGGGCAAAAACCTTCAATATCTATTTAATGTGTCAACATTTCAATGGGCAACTTAAAGACTTTAACATTTTTCTCAAGATATCTTAAAAGCTCAGAAATGGAGACAGATATCAAGAATTAGTGAACACTGCTGGTACTCAATAGATATACAATGTTTTCCTCTTTCTTTCAAAATTCAGAACTGCCCACCATCATACCAAGAAATCTGTTACTGGGCAATTTCATTTCTGTCTGAACATCAGAGTGTACTTAGAAACCATGCAGGCTGTGGCATCATTAGATGACATAATCTCCTAGACAGTCATACATGTGAGTTGCCATTGCCCAGATGTTACCATGTGGTACATGGCTTTCTACTATGCCCTGTGAGACAGCGATTTAAGGGCTAGCTTAAACTATGTTTTCCGCTTTGTATTCTGTGGAATGCAAATTTAAAAACACACACACAATATATTTTACTTCTCGTATTGCAGTTTGCAGTATACATAGACTCATAGGGTAGACAGTGTAAATATTATTTTGATTGTATGTGTGCAAATGTACACAGCACATGTGTGGAGGTCAGAGGACAACTTGTGAGAGTTAGCTCTCTCCTTCCACTATGTGGGGCCTGGGGATCAGGCTTGGAAGAAGTGCCTATACAAACGGAGCCTCCCACAGACCCCCACTTCAGATCGGCACAGCACACACAGTGGACAGTTCATTTCCAGTGTTCCGAAGCAACAGGACTTCACCAGAGAGGTGGCATCACCTTGAAATGCCATCGGACAAGCTTCTACCACACCTGTACACTGGCCAGCAGACCTGGAAGAGCCCAGTGAGGTGTTTGTGCTCTTGTGGCTCAGCCAGCACCAGCATCTACCCGTGAGGGCATCCTGACAGTTTGGCAAAGGGTCCCATGGGAACTCCTTAGAATGAGGTCAAAGAGCATCGTCCAATGTGTGCTCTCCAGTTTTCTGTCTCCCTCAGATTCTACCTTTGCTACTTTTTCTCTTCCACATTTGAGTACCTGAGAGTTTCTGTTTTCTATTTCCATGCTAGATAGTGAACAACGCACAAACATACTACATACGGGGAAAACCCATGCACCTCACACATTATCTCCGTGGAATAAGGTCACAAGCAGGGACAGTAAGCCACTGAAGATAACTGCCCCCTTCCCCCACATACACACACATCACAGGATGCAAGCTTTGGGCTCCTCTGCAATTTCAGTCCCCAGTGCCAACTCTCATACAGAAGGAAGAGGGACAGTTTGACTCTCACTATTCCACGGGTCCCCCAACCCCTTCTGGCATTTGCCTTTGGTTCCTGGAGGAAAGGGAAAGTTGGCTGCTTTAGTTCCTACCATCTGAGTTTCTGATACTCCAAAAGATGCTCCACATGCCCACCCTGATGGGATTGTATGGAAGTAGGTAAATCCTAATCACAGTCCACTTAATGGACTGGCTCGGCAGACCATGGTTGACCCACCCCTGTAGCAGGTGTACTGACCGCCTCCAGGGGCTGGCCTCCCATCTGTGCACAGTCTCTGATGTCACTGGGTGGCTGCTCACCATGACTCACTGGAGTGGATTATATAACCTGCTTATGCCTCTGTTGCTTACTGAGCAACCATATTGTGTAATCAGACATTCTGTAAACTGACTTAATAGGAGCATGGAGCTCCTCCGCACGCTCACACACTGAGCTGGGTATGTTTGAACTGCATTTAGGAAGGCAGACCCTGAAAACTCCCTGAAAGCGTGAATGATTAGGCCGCTTCTAGGACGGGGGTTTCTTCAGCCTCTCAGAGAAAGTTATTTGTCAGAGCTGCTGTGTTTGGGAAGAAGCCGCTCGAGAGGGCAGTCGAACAGGTCTACAGTGAAAGCAAAGCCAGTGAGAGGCAGGAATGGCCACACATTTATACACGTTGGGTTTTTGGAAATTCTATAGGCCTGAGAATTCTCCTCACATATGCAAAGCTTGAGCTGTGCCACTGGGCCACACTTGTGGCTACAGATCAGCGAACCCTGAGTCAAGATAAAGAGCTTAAGGGCCTGTGTTGTGGCTCAGCTGCCAGAGGCTTTATCTAGCATGCGCAAAACCCCGAGTTCAATCCCCAGCACTGCTTAAAGCCATGTATGTGGATACACACAAACCTAGCATCCCAGTACTTGGGGATGTGGAAACAGGAGGATTAGAAGTTTAAGGTTATCCCTGCCTATCCTGGGCTAATATAAGACTATGTCTCAAAATAAATAAAACAATTAATAAATAAGGCTTAGGATTTTAAAAAAATTCGGTTCATTGACCAATATTTCTTTATTTGCTGAGAACTAATCATATTGATGTCGATCAGGTCAGCTGAGAAGGCTGTACTTACCTCTGGCCCAAAGGAAAGCAGGCCAAAGGAACCTGTCCCAGACAGCACAGATGAAAGCATCTAGAAACGAGGTCCTGATGGAGTTGCTACCAGCTATCTCAGGAGCCATAAGTACAGCCCTCCTGTCAATTCTGGTTTTCTTAAATACACCCTCCCCCAAGCCAACATGCCAACGCTGAAGAAGGGACCCTGGCTCATACCCATCCTTTTTGTAAAACTCCAGCATCATGTTGTCTGTGGCGACACTGAGGGGCCGGCGGGCCTGCTCTGGCTGACGCCGGTCAGCAGCATCCATGTCTGGGGAGGGCATTGAGCTGTAGTTGGCGTTGTGGTTCACATGGACTGGACTCCCATAACTGCCCGTGATGTTGAACTCTACCTCTGCAGGGAGAGAGGACCAGTGTATGTGACCTTGCGATGGATGACACACACCCTGGCTGGACAGGAGAGACACCTCGTGCTGCCTTTAGGAAACTTCACCTCACGGTCTACACCAGCTAATCTACTGGTATCAATTCAGCATACTGAGCAGCCACTGCAGAGACTGCTGACCTCTGAGCCACGAAGCTGGGATCCCGGCCTTAGTAACGTTTTGTCTTCACATGAGTTAGTGGCTATTGACAGCTAAAGGCCCATCCTCAACATTTACTGCACAATGTAAATAAAGGATCGGCGTGTTGTTGTTTTAGCAAATATTGCTACAACTGTTGTCTCCACACTATGATCGCCATAGAAGCATGCATGCATTGACGCTTCTATAGCTCCTAATGTTTTGTAAATTCCCTTGCAGGAGGCTGCCTCAAGTGCCTAATTTTGAACTAGGCACGAAAAAGCAATTCACTGCCCCAGAGCCCTGCTTTTATATGCTGAGGGACAACTCAACACCATTTAAGTCAGTGGGAGGGTAGCACCCAGGTGATGTCTGGGCCCTGAACTGAAGTACTCCGATGCCCCAACCCCACCTCCCTCCACACCCATCAGGCTCAGCCCCCTATGCATTTGGAAAGCAAGGAGCTACGGAACACTGCGTTGTGGATGAGTTTCCCACATCTTGTAGACGTGACGAAACCACAGTGTACTTGCTACGTCAGCAAAATCCACTGACAGGTTTAGCAGAGCGCATGGATGCCTGGGTGACGGACTTCTCGACGATAGCGATAGAGACTCTACCCCAGTGTCTGGTGCACTTACAGAGCTGAGTGCAGGAGGAGTGTGCACAAAGCCGTCCAGAGCCTGAGTGTGTATCCCCGGCTTCGCGGCTTCAAGCTCACACTGACCTTCCTGTCCCTACCCCTGCCCTTCTGTCCCCCATATGTGGGTGCTGAAGCGTACCCCCAGGGAAGAACCAGTCTGCGTGCTGGATGATGGGTTCAATGATGCCGACGATCTGCAGTGAAACTGTAGTCATCATCTCCGTGATGTTCCTGCAAGTGGAGTAGGGGTTAGCGGCTGAGGCAGGGAGATGGCCCCACAGTCATCTGGGCATTAAGCTTGAGGAAGAACCCTGGCCTGGAATTGTGCAGGACCAGGTCTATCAGCTGCTTCCCAGAAGCTTTGTGAACAAGATCACCCCTGGTTACCACACAGTACCCGTAAGTGCTTTCTCAGCACAGGGGAGCATGTCCGCTTTTCAACTCTGCTGCATCTTGCAGACAGGCCTTCACCCTTTCAAGTCCAAATGTGAGGACTTCTTATGAAGGCCTCCAGAGGGCCCAACAGAGCTTGCTTTGCTTGGTGCCATCATGTCCCTTTCCCTCCTCTGTCACCCTCCACAGTGATTTAGGTTAGTCACAGAAGACCTTACTCAGACCTGTAACTCTGAGCCTGTCAGTGAGGAAGACGTATAGGAGGTTCCTCCTGACCACAAGAAGGAGTAGGCCACAAGAGAAATTAACAGGCTGAGATGATTCAGGCTTAGGCCTCTTGTGCTGCAAGCCCATGCCTGGCACCCTGTGGGGGGGAGGGGGAGGCTCTCCTTCCTGTACTCACCCCTCTGATTGTGGCCATAGAAGGTTGGGTCCCAGGACAATTGCCATATTACTGGGTGTCATCTTGTTTACATCCTGATATTCAGACAGTTTGGATAAAAATTTGATCAAGTATCTGAAAGGCAATGAGAAGAGCCCGTTTTAACCAGGGCTCAACAGCAGCCATAGTCCTGCAGGACTGAATAGAAACCCCACTCGTGTAGAGTGTTCCTGATAAGGAAATTCAGGGACCCAGCAGCCTCTAACTCCCACATCAGGAAATGTGAGCTCTAGATCTCTTTCCCCAAGCAGAGAGGCCCAGAACTCCACCACCTAGAGCCTCACAAACGAACAACTGGTAAAAAGCTCCATCTGTCCTTGTACAGGTACAGGATGGTCAAGGTGTATCTCTCACTGCACCCTGTCACCTCTCATCTGCTCTGTGTAACCACAGTGACCATGACTATCCATAGACTCGGGCTTCATGGAAAGAGCCAATGAAGATAGAACATGACTCAGCAATTCCATTGCTAGAAATTTACCCTAAGAAATACGCCCATGCACAAGCTGCTAGAAAAGACACCCAGAGAGGCATCGTTCATAGTATCCACAGAGCCGAGACCATGCAGATGCTCTTCAAGGAGTGGATGGGTTTATGTAGAATGTTATAAAGGTGTAATAAAAGGAAAGATGATCTGACGCTTGCTGTCATGTGGGTGAGCCCTGGAAATATGGCAGTCAAAAGGAGATAGGCACAGAAGACCGCCTCTGTAGTTTCACCTCATCACGTGAAATATCCAGAAGAGGAAAGGGCAAGGAAGGAGATGGGTAGCTGCTGAGCTGGGCTGGGGCTGGTGAGGAATGGCTCTGGTGGAAACTGGGTTTCTTTTGGGGGTGATAAAAATGCCACACATCCAGACATTATCAGCAGGTGCACAACTCTGTGAGTGAAGGCTAAATCCCAACTGTCACCGTTAAAAAGACAACAGTGTTGTGCAAATTATATCTCAATAATGTTAGTGTTTAAGACGAGGACGAAGAAGCTGAGCACAAGGTAAACACCCCTAAAAACAGCGTGAGCAGGCCACACTGAGAATATCCCTGTCCTCTCTAGAGACCCCGGGGCTGTGTTTTCTTCTGGACTCCTAGCTGTCATTCTAACCCTTGGGTCACAACAAACAAAGTTCCTTGGGGGATTTTAACTCCTTTTCTGGCAGCCCAGCAGGCAGTGCACCAGCCTTGGGGATGGAGTGCTGTGGAGTTGTCACCATCTTTATTCCTGTACCAGCTCTACCCATAGCCTCTCCTGATTACCCTCCAAGAAGCATTCTAGGACTGGACCAGGGTGTGGGATCTCTGAGAACAGTTGACCTGGATCCTTGCCAGTGGCCGAGGGTTGAGGTTACCAATGTAGAGTGAGCTGTACCTATGTGACTTGTATCAGGACACCTTTAAACACAGATTTTAACAAAATGTGCCTACAGTTTACGTTTGTATATTGATATACTATGCACTGTATCCACATTGGTAGGCAACCTTCATGACCATCTACCTTTTGCCAGGACCATTTGTCCGTCTCATATCAAGACTCCTGTATTCTCCACTGCCTAGCCCTGGTCACCAACTACCTTCAGTACCTGTGACTCCAACTACTCCCAGCGCCTCATACACATGGAGACAAATCTTTTAGTCCATGTTGCTGTAAGAACAATAATCCCACTGTATGTGCACACCATACTGGATTTACCCATTTATCTGCCTGGGGACACTTGGGTTATTTTTACTCTTGGCTACTGTGAATCTCACTGCTGTGAATGCGGGTGCACAAATCTCCAGTCCCCACTTTCCATTCCTCTGGGCATACGCTCTGAAGCGGAGCTGCCACATCATATGGTGATTCAGAGCTTAGTGCTTTGAGCAGCAGCCATACCACCGCTCTAGGGACTTTGAGCAGGGAAACTGGAATCATCAGGCAGATGGAAGCAGAAGCGGAAGCTGAGAAATCTGCATCCTAAGAAACAGGGAGGAGAGGAAGCAAGCAAGGGAGAAATGGGCAAGGCAAGGAACAGAAGCCAAGGGCCTATGGGGAAGGGCCTGCTGCAGAGAGGCAGCAGGGAGCTACATGGCTCCCAGAAAAGATGGATGGTGGAATTCTCCCCCTCACTGCCCTGCCTGTGACTGGCTCAAGGTCATATTTGCCTCCTTCGGCCCCACAGCAGGTGAGCCTCTCCTAGAAGTCTACGGATCTCAGACACTGTAAGATGGCACACAGCACTCCTTGTTCTTCACAAACTGAAAAACAAACATCAGAATTAGCCAATGGCTGTTGGGTAGCCCCTGGTGACATGTGGCTTCTGTCCCTTGGCAGCAAAACTTAGCACCATGCCTCTGCCTTAGCTCATAGGCTGTTGAAGACAGGTACTGCATGCTAACAGTGCCTTGGGGCCCACGGGGTGCCTGTGCATGCTAGTCTCCATGGCCTTTATCCAGGGAACTGGGGAGCTGGGCTCACATAAACCCAGTCCACTTTCCCCAACTTACCGGATGTTGTTATGGTTGGCCTTGGGCAACTTCTCACAAGCATTCCAGAGAGCCTGAAGTCTCTTCTCTTGTTCCTGAATACTGGGAAACAGACAGGAAAAGCCATGGGTCGAACACAAATTGATGCAACACTGTTCCTTGTAATCAGTCATTATCATAGACACTGGAGGCAATCACTGCAAGTTATTACAATTAAATACCCATGGCAGTTATCACTCTCCCTTCTATGTTCTCCTTAAGTCCTGTGCTACTCCATTTTAACAAAACTTGATCTGCCTGGATCACAGGTCTTGGGCGGACAGTGAGGTCAAGAAGCTAGACAGCTGTGGAGCTAGGCTTTGGGGCTGTTGGGAAACACAGGATAGCAGCTGGGGCAGCCTGACTGCTGCACACTGCAACATACAGATCGGCTCAACAGACATTACTCATATTAAACTCCTCCATATCGGGCAGAAACCAAATGTTCAACGGATAACTTAAGATAAGTTATTCAGGCATAAATAAACCAACCTTTCAAAACCTCACTTCAGGAAGTGGAACACAGTGCTTCCATTAGCAGGAAGGTTTTCCGTTACATGTAACAGTTTACTCTATGGGTTTACTACTAATCTCATAGAATTAGAAACATTATTTATAGGACCAAGTTTTATAGAACTCTTCATCCAGGCCTACATGGTAAGAAAAGTTTGACGCCAAAAGAATCTTTTCTGCGTTACATCTAAAGAGTAAACAGCAGCAGGGTGCGGTCCACACCTAAGGTATGGCCATCACCTTTTCACGTCATTGCTGGGTGCCCCTAGGGTCCTCCTACTGACCTTGACCAATGTGGGTCTTGACTGGGAGGCTTTAAAGCAGCCTTTCTGCTCGCTGGCCAGCCAACTCTGACCTCTATAAGCAACAGCTGCCTCACAGAGCTGGCGTGAACAGTCTGAACCGGAACGAGACCCAAGTGCCCGGCCCTCTGCTGCTTTATGCAAGGTTCTCAGCCGACATGAAATGCTGGCATTGCGGCTGCTACCACCACTACTGTCGCCCTGTCCCATGGGGAGCCACCTTGTGAGGCAACAGGCCCCACGTCCTCCCCCAGTCTTCAACTTCTCTTAAGGTACAGTCTGTGGGAGGCTGCTTCTTTGTAGGCTCGGTAGGACAGACCGCACTGTAATGGGGCCGGGCTAATAGCCAGCCACACAATCAAAGCAAACTAGGAAAACTGGGACTCGTTTCCTAAAACAGCAGTCATGCGGGAACCAGTTCTAGAAAGCCAGTACTCCTAAGCCGGCAGCATCACCCCCTTAAAACCACCACTTTTTCTTGGGCTTTCCTTCTATGAAGCCAACCCCTCCCACCTAATTCACTGGAAGAACTCAGTCTGCTTTGTGGAATCAAGTCCTGCTCAGTTACAAAGAGGAAAATGAGAGCTTTTGGGTTTTTAAGTTGAATTTGTCTTTTGACAAAGGGCAGATGATTCCTGACCTTTTGAGGAATGTAAGTCAACAGATATATTATTAGAATGAGTCTCTCTGTGCCCAGAGCTGCGCTGTGGGCTGGGAAGAAGCCCTCAGAGTAGTTCCTAACCTATCAGCTATCAGTGAACCTAGACAGCATGCTCTTCTGGCTCAGAAGCCACAGGGCAGAGGGAGTCAGGCTGCTAGGGGCAGCTTCTCTGAGGAGCTGACATTTAAGGGGTGGCAGAGGGTATCCATGAGGCAGAGGTCTCAGAGAACAGCCTTCCAGAGGAATCAGTCTGCGTACCTGCCCTGAGGATAGTCTCCTGGCCTCTGACCCCTGCTCGCACTTGCCTCATCCTTGGTCTCTGTGTGCTCTACCAAGAAGGCACTGAGTTTACCAGGTTCCCACCTTGGTCTCAGGAAGTCTGCACTATCCTGATAAGCTCTCATTTAAAAATATATTTTATTTCTATTTACTATTTCATACATGTGTGTAATACATGCTAGTCACATCTATCTCAACTACCCATCCTGTCCCTCTGGAACCAGCATATTCCTCTCCCATCTCCACGGCTACTCTGTTTCATTAGTTTATAACGCACTGAGCTCTTAGTTCAGCCCACTGTAGTGCTGACTGTCTTGCTGGCTCAGTGTCATGAGGTCTCATAAAAGCAGCCATAACTGCAGTGAGTTTTGAGTCCAAGGGCCACACCACATCCGGAAGCCATACTTCAGAGGCTCCTCCCTAATATCCAGCTCTCACATCCTGCCTTCTCCTTCTTCCTTGATGTCCCCTGAGCTTTGTGGAGCAGGTTTGATACAGACACAGGTACCGCTTTCAAAAGGCGCTGATTTCCAGCCCCTTGATAAGTCTTTGTGAGTTTTTGCACTAAGTGTCTCCCACTGTGAAGAGAAGCTTTTCTGGTACTAGTTGAGACATGTAATTTGGCCTTTTCTCTTTCCTGGACCACCTTTCTCCTGGTGTCCTAAGTCCCACATTTGGCCATATCCTGCTGTATCATGCCAAAGTGCAATGTTCTGAGTCCAGCTGAGTGTCATCCTTCCTGAAACCTAGGCTCTTCACGGGGTCAAAGTCATCTTACTGGCAGCTTGGGGATTATGGAAACACAGAATCTCAAACAGTTCAGTCCAAATCTCTGCGAAGCAGGCACAGATCCTGCTATCTTTGGAAAGTGTACCAAGAGGCTCTGATGCTTCCAGGTGGTGGGGAACATCTCCACTGCAGAAAGTTATTTTCTTAGAGGATGAGACCCTGGAAGGCAGGCCCTATCATTCCCTGTGAATCTTCAGCAGTAGAAATGTTTATCATCCAAGGGCAGAAACATGGCCTTGTGTTTCCAGGGTTCAGTGTCTGGGAGTTATGAGGACCATGCCTTCCTTCTGGTGTACACCCACCTGTGAGCTGGGACCAGGGTGTCTGTCAGCATGCTCAGTGCCACCTTGGCTGTCCTCTCCTTCTCTAGTTTCTTATCAAAAGTTATCCTCTCCCTGCCCAGTAAAAACACAAGCCAGTTTGGGTCAAAGGATATGTGCTCGTTTCTCACTAGAGTCGCTGTCTTGTTCCACAAAGGCATGAAGTGCACTGCTCCATGCATGAGCTCCGGGACTGGGCTCATTGGATTTCCCACTCTCGGGTGTGAGCTGGGAAGTTGCTACCCCAACCCCACTCCACGCCTCGGCACCCTCATTTGCAAAGTGGGGGTAAACAGCCTAGCCCACCTCAGAGGGTTATAAAAATCAGATGGTTTAAAAATGATCATGAGCTTAGAACAGTGCATTCAACAGATGATAGCATTTATCAACAGCACCATGGAACTTGAGACCCCTCCTGCCCCCACCCCTTTAAGGTAAAACATACAGGCTGCATTTTCACCGTAGTATGACTTTGTTCTACTTTGGAAAGTAAACAGCACTAGGCAATTTGACTTGAGGCAACCTTCTCTAACTTGACCCATGTAAGCATGCCTTCACCCAGTTGAGCTGGGTGTCTTTGAGCTCCTAGTGTTTCAAGAAATGGAAGTCGAATGAGCAATGCTGATCTGAGGTGAGGAGTATGCTAATGCCGGCCCTGGCTTGACCACTGAGCAGTACACCTCACGATGCCACGTCACATCACACCCTAAAACCTTACAGGTCCATCCAAGTGCTGGCGATTGACAGATGGTGACCATCTGCCACAGCCTCTGGCGTTCTTCCTGAGAAGCTAACTGTATGGCCAGGACCCGTGGCCAGGGAGTACCAGAAATCATCTCCATCCAGACACCTTTGCTCCCAACCTGCTCTCAGAAAAGCTTCTCCTCTACGTCTGTTCTACCTGCATCATCTCTATCCTGGTCCCCACCATCCTGGCTCTGGTGCCAATTCTCCTGCCCCATGTTGTCTATCTCCTCACTATGGTTGTTTGTATTTTCTTAAGATAGCTATCAACCTACAGAGAACGCACTCTAATGAAGCCCACAAGAACAAGGGAAGAACGTACAGGTCAAGAGTTACAAAGGCAAGCTGCACCGAGGAGCCGCCATCTGTGGCTTGCCTGGCCTGTGGGCTGCATTGGCTGCTGGCCTGATAATCCTGTTCCCTCAGCCCAATCCTTGGGGGCACGGATCACACCCACTACCCACATGCTATGCCTTAGCCTGATTAATTCATTGTTGCCAAAATATCCCTGTAACCGCTATGGGAAAAACCCAAGGCTACTTTTGTCTTGCTCCTTTGCCAAAAGAAATCACTACCATTGCCTAGTTGGGCCTTTCTAGAACCTTCTTTGATGTGAACAGATAGGGGCACTTCGAGAATTCCATTTCACTGAGTGTTGGGTGTTTATCTTTTCAGGAAAGGAAAAGGGAAAATGGTGTAATTACATAATAATCTCAAAAAGTGAAAGAAATAGTGTATAGAGAGCTCCTTAACTTGCCTACATCATTTAACAACAGAGCTAGCTTTCCTAGTAGCCAGAGTGGCTCTATCAACTTCTTAATTGCCCCAGAACATGGGGCAAAGCCTCCGTCCTTCCTCAATGTGTCATCAGTACGTTTCCAAACATTTGGGTAACATTTGCCAACAGTCCTTCCTAATGGAAAGCAAGAAGGGCAGCTGCTTGCTGGCAGATCACAAGCTCTGACACTTCAGTGAACCTACAAACAATTTACATGGCATTAGGTATTGTAAGTAATTCATGGATGGCTTAAAGTACGCATAAGCTTCTTGAAAATGCTATGCTGGTGGCTTTGTATAAGAAACCTAAGCATCCAATGGTCCACAGATGCTGAGGGATGAGTATGGTCTCTATAATCCCAACCCACAGCACAATCCAACACAATGTACTCACTTCGAAGCCTGGATCCATTCATCATAGAGTTCAAAGGTCATAAGAGGCTCTGGCAACTCTCGGAGATAAGACTTCAAAGCCCCTGGGCATAAATACAGTAGCTGTTACAACACAGCAGGACAAACTGCATCAGCCTGCGTTACTCCACTTGGACATGATTTCTTGGCCAACACAAGATCAGTGTTTTCCCATGTAAACAATTAGTTGAGTATTATCTCACCTTCAGCTAGCTCTATAACTAAGGTAGTCTTTCTTCAATGATTAGAACACTCAGTCCTGAAAGAGGGTCCTAGGCAGACACCTGAGGCACTATATTTGGCACAGAGCCAAATGCTGCCCCTGCTGTCCCTTCCCCGGGAGGCCTAGCTCATCGGTGAAGGGTGCCCACCTGCAATGGCATGGGGGTCTGCCGAGTACTCCTGCACATCCACCACGCAGCAGTCCAGAGCAGCTTTCAGCTTCTTCAGCTTGGAGGCTGAGGGGGCTACCCGGAAGAGGCCCTACCAACAGGACGAAGGGGTTAGAGGATGGCCAGCAGCTCAAAGGAACAAGACTAAACCGGAGCGATGGAAAGCCTACCTGCTCTTCCCTCTACACCGCCCTCCCCCAGCATTCTGACTGCTGCCAGGTTCTGATGTCGCAGCTGCCTTCTTTCTGGGCATCTCCTCCAGACTCAGTAGTCCACCATGCTGTTTTTAGGGTCACTGCCAGTGGCCCCCTGAACTGACTTCGTAAGTATTGGGGATTTGAACCTTGGATTCTCAGGTGCCTGGTTCTATAATACTTAAAGTAAATCTTGGAGAATCTGCCTGTGAGCTTTCAGACATGAAGGTCCAATAACTTGGAAAAACAAATGTCTATGGCAATGGCTCTTAACCTTCCCTTTCACTCAGTTCCTCATGTTGTGGTGACCCCCCCCCAACTATATAATTATTTCTGTTGCTACTTCATAACTCTAATTTTGATGCTGCTAAATAATAATGTAAACCCATGTTTTCCAGCGGTCTTAGGCTATCCCTGTGAAAGGGTTGTTCGACCCCCCCCCCCAAAGGGGCTGTGATGGTTGGGAACCACTAGTCCATGTGCACAGCATGTGTGTGGCTGCACATACACTGGGGGGCACCAAATGAACCAGCTGGCATCTGTGTCTGGAGAAGAAGCGGCTGTGCTGGCGGCCTGCAGCGCTCCAGGCTCCATTCTTAACATCACTTTGGTATTACTAACACTTAGGCCCATGTGAGCAGCCTCAGATTATACAGTAAAACCAACGTGGACAGGGGTGTTTTGAAGAGAAGATGAATACAAGTCAAAGATGGGAAGGAAGGCCTAGGCCCAGGCCCAGGAGAGTGAAGTGTAGAGCCCTCTGGCTTTCTGAAATCCACTTTAGATGCCCCACAGACTGAAAAACAAGCTAGCAAGTTGACTCTCACTCCTCTTTGGTTTCACGGCAATTGAGAGTTCCAAGTTCCTTCTGAAGAAAACATTCCCAGTCTACAACAGAGTTTTTGAGCTGCTGGCATGGCCAAGTCCCTTCTCAGTGGAAGATGTGGTGATTTGAATGATAGATGCCCCCATATGCTTAAGCATTTGACTCTTGATCCCCAGTTGGTAGCACTGTTTGGGGGGTGGGTAGGAGGTGCAGCTTTGCTGGGGAATGACATCACTGGAGGCAGGCTCTGAAGCTTCATGACACTCAGAGTTTGCTAAGTTTGCTGTTAAGGATGTAAGCCTCAGCTTCCTGCCCCTGTCACAATGCCTGCCTCTCTGAGCTCTGCCTTTCCACCACGATGGACTCTGGACTTGGCCTGGAAGGTCAGTGAGCTCCAAGATGGGGACTGTGGCAGTTTAAATGAGAATGGCCTCCAGAAGCTCATACGTTTGAATACTTAGTTCCCAGCTAATAGAACTGTTTGGGAAGGATTAGAAGGCCTGACCTTGTTGGAGGAAATGTGTCACGGGGTGGGGAGGGGTGGCTTTGAGGTTTCATAAACTTCATGCCACTCCCAGTTAGCACTCTCTGCCTCCTGCTTGAGGGCCATGATGTGAGCTCAGCTGTTTCTGCCACCATGCCTTTGCTCCACCATCATGGACTCTAACTCTCTGAAAGTCTAAGCTCTATAATAAAGTCTTCTTTTATGAAGGGCCTTGGTCATGGTGTTTTGACACAGCAAGAGAAAAGGAACAAAGACAGGGACCAAAGTAATATCATAAGGAGAGGAGGGAGGGAGTAGTGTGGCAGGCAGTGAACACTGACAGTGGTTTTTGGAATTGTGCTTAATAGAAAACAAAACCTATGTGCTAGGAAAGGAATGGGAGGCTGCCGTGGGCTTCAAGGAGATATTCTTTTCCAGGCTGATAAAAATCTGCCATATTTGTCAGTAAAAGAAAGGAGGTGATGCAAAGTGGAGAAAAAAGGTAAAAGGTGGGGAAGTGGATCTAGCTAGAGGTAGAATGTCCCAGGAAGGGCAGAGACCAGAGAGGCAGGGATAAGACAGGGAACATCAGAGGCCAGTTCATCAACTGATACTAACTAGGTATCTGACAATGCTAAAATAGTGTTGTGGCTTACAACATATAATGAGACTATAGCAGATACAATCTGTTTCTAAATAGCTAAGGCAAGGATTAGGGGCAGCAGAGGTGGAGATGAACCAAGGAGGCTAGGGCCAAGACTTACTTTATCTTTGTGTAAGTTTTTCTATAATTAAAAGGAAAAAACAAGGCTGCATAGCAAGCACTATAACAGCTTGGCCTATACAGCAAGATTCTGCCTTTAAAAAAAAAAGTGAAGAGGAAAAAGAAGGAAAAGAAAGAAAGGAAATAAGGAAGGAAGGGGTAGAGATAGACAGGCAGATAGATAGATAGATAGATAGATAGATAGATAGATAGATAGATAGA